ATAAATAAAACCTCAATTTGATTTAAAATCCAGTGGCTTGTTTCACGAAATTTGAACTAAGATAAAATCCAAATTTTAGTAATTTGATTGGATAATATTCGATTGATTTTGGTGCTTAGCCAATCAAAATTGAAATATCTACTAAAATTTGGATTTTATCTTTAGTTAAAATTTCGTGAAACAGGGCCCTGGTCCTATTTCCTTATTACATTTAATACTTTAAATTTTGCTTTATTTGTAATGATTTGAAAAAACTGTTTTCAGTTTAAACGGAATTGTGGGTGACATGTTGAGCGCGCAAGTACAAATAAAATTTAAATCTAAGATGTACGCCATTCAGTCAATAAAGCTAATATCGTCACCAGCTATGACCTTCTAAACCAATTGCCCAGATCTAAGCTATATATATCTACAGTATAAAGAACGAAACAAAACTAGATCGGTAAATTAAGCTAAAGAAACTTTAAAATTGTGTGGACAACTGTGTGAAACCTGACAGGAACATTATTTCGGAAATTTCGGGGTATTGTTGTTTTCTACAAAGTAGAAAATCAAAAATAAAAAGCAAAGAGTCACAAGTAAAAGGAAATGCTTATCTAGAAGGAATTTTAGGTTGGAAACATATACTTTTATGCATTTAATCTACAAGCCTATAAAGTTTGCTTCGTAATTTTCTGGACAACCCGGCCAATGAAGGCACACATACGTAATTTAGGGTGCCATGTGGAAGATTTCTATTGTTTACTGTCGTAGTGTTACCCAAGGTATACGCGGGATTTTTTCGGCGTTTTGCATCACTGAAAAGGGAAAATCAGACTAGCAAATCCCGAGGACCTTTCGCCGACCAACACCGGGATAGATCGAATCGAGAACCTCCTAAGTTAGTCAAGGCCATAAAGAACGAGCTAACCGTGGCCAAGAATAATTCTCGCTCTTCATTATGGACTATATTCGCTAGTAAGCGTTATTGCTTTATGGTTCCCTGGGGTGTCACTAGCTAATGGACGCAGTCGTTTTCTGGTGGTATCCCAATTTGGAAACTGAGCACGAACTTTATGGGCAAACTCGTTGTTCTTGGGACGTTCTTGCACTTTCGGACAAGTTACCCCCCTCCCAGCATCTTCTATGAAATGGGTCTGTGTAATTTAATCCAGTGATTATTAATACATGAAATGTATTATTAATTATTAGAATGAATTTTGTTATTATAATTTAAAGGATATTCAAGTTGAACCACCAACTGGAGGAATACTAACAATCGATTTTAAAGATGTTATCCGACTGGGCTGTCTACAATTGACGTCACCATGTTATAAATCGGACATTAAAGTTTATTCCACTACTTTAATGGGTGTAAAATGTAAGTGACGTATTTTTTAAAAAAAATGTTAGGTTTTTTTGTGGGGGGGGGGGGGGTATAGCTCAATCGACAAAAGTAATGTCGTTTCCTTACCAGACATGTCTAATAACCATAGCTTAATCAACCAAAGTAATTCTGTTTTGTCCAGCGTTGAGTACCGAAACATCCAATCTTTTTTGTAAATACTGAATACGATATTTGCATTTAGATCAAAAATACAGTTGGTATTTTGATTTGGATCAATACAATCGTAATTTGAATTTGGATCAACACAGTCGGTATTTTGATTTGGATCAATATAGCTGTGATTTGCGTTTGGTCTAATACAAGCAAAGGTTGATTCATACCAATGTCTCGGCATTCCGCGCAAACCATAACTGAAAATTATCAATTGGTAAGAGTAGAAAATAACGACTAAAATTGTCTGATTTAAAGTGGCTAACGTCATTTACTACCTTTTAATAGAACAAAGAAGTAGGCGGGGCATCTCCTTTAAAAATGAACAATGTAAGGTAATGTGGCATAGATCAAATCAAAGAAATGTTATAGGCTTAAAAGAAAATCTTTAAACTTTAATATTTAAACTTGTACTCTATCTTCAGCTGCTTTTGTTCATCCAGCCATATTAGACATACAAGCAACATGGGATGATATACCATATCCAGGTAAGATGGGAACACTTGCCTTGATTTTACTGTCTCCGGTTCGATTCTGATGTGGCCCGAAAAAGTTGATTGGAATGTTCCGGCGGGGTTGCCCCTTGTCAGTGGCGCAGGCCCAGCGACTAGTAATTCGGATTTGAGAAAAAACCTCGACAGATCGAATTCGAAATATGAGTAGGCCGTGGAGAGTTGTACCTTTGTCTGTATTGAAGACGTTCAGGTGGAACAAAAACTGTAAAAGAACCCTTAGCAATCGGAAATCCACAAAGAGCTGTCAGAAACTTCGCAACGTTTCCCTCTTAGGAAAATGGGGTATGTCCGTCTGCCTCAGTCTGTTTGGCACACACTCGACAAACACATCATAATAAAAAGAACCCACAATAAACCATCGTTAATGCAATGAAATATGAAAAAATAAATAAACATGAAAAGTAATAGCCTGTGTTTTTAAATGATATTCTAAATTGTCACATTAATTAGAGATCGTTTTAATTTCTACAGGTCTTGAAACAACGACAACGCCATCTACCCCTTCTACTACTGGTCACATAAGCCCTTCGTCAACGTTTGCAAGTCTTGAAACACAGGGAACGTCACAAGATACTACTACAGTCGGTTATCATATAGGCCTATCGTCAACGTCTCTAAGGTCTGGAACACAGAGAACTTCTAAAGCCACTACTACTGTCGGTTATCATAAAGGTATATCGTCAACGTCCCCAAGTCCTGAAACACAGAAAACTTTTAATGCTACTACTACGATCGGTTATCATATAGGCCTATCGTCAACGTCTCTAAAGTCTGAAACACAGATAACGTCACAAGCTACTACTACAGTCGGTTATCATAAAGGCCTATCGTCAACGCCTCTAAGGTCTGAAACACAAGGATCGTCACAAGGTACTACTACAATCGGTTATCATATAGGCCTATCGTCAACGTCTCTAAGGTCTGAAACACAGATAACGTCTCAAGCTACTACTACGGTCAGTTATCATATAGGCCTATCGTCAACTTCAAATATTAATATATTATCAACTGGTAATACACCGACACCTTTTACCAACATTATGCCATCACCTAGCAACAACCAATCGACTATTAGTGAAAGTATGACAGCACCTATCAACACTCATGCATTTTTAAGCGAGACTTCGACATCTTTTGTTGACATCATTGGGTCACCTAGTAACATAGCGACATCTGTTAGCGACAAACCGACATCTTTTAGCGACATACAGGCATTTTACAGTGGCAGTATGACAACAACTAGCAATATATCGACGTCTTTTAGCGACATACGGGCATCTTTCATTGTCAGTATGACATCACCTAGCAACATACCGACCACACTTAGCGACACACCGGTATCCCTTGGCGATAGCATGACACAGTCTAACAACATACGAGTGTCTGTGACCGAAATATTAACATCGCTTACTAACATTCCGGTATCTTTAAGTGGTAGTATGTCACCAGATAGCAACACGGACATGTCAGTTAGTGGCAGTATGACCTCACCTAGAAACACACACGCGCCAGTTAGCGACAGTATGACATCACCTAGCAACACATACGCGTCAGCTAGCGACAGTGTGACATCAACAGCATTTTTTATTGGCGGTATGACATCACCTAGCAATATACTGGCCACACTAAGCGAGACACGGACATCCTTTGGCGATAGCACGGGACAGTCTAGCAGTATACAAGTGTCTGTTACTGAAACATTATCATCGCTTACTAACATTCCGGTATCTTTAAGCGGTAGTATGTCACCACATAGCAACACACACGTATCAGTTATCGACAGTATGACATCATCTAGCAACATACGCGCGTCTGCTAGCGACAGTGTGACGTCACCTAGCAACACACAAGCGTTTGTTATCGACAATAACAATAGCTACTCCGTGACACAACCAAAGGACTCTGAAATAACCAAAAACACAACTTGGAAACGACTCGCGCATGGTTTCATTGAATTACAACTTGAGGAAAACCAATTTATTTGCAAAGATGTCACAGGCCAAGTTAGGATAGTAAGAATTGAGGACATTAAGGAGGAGATGGCCCAGAGGGTGAAAAATTTGACTGTTGAAAAGGCGTTGCTCTCCGCAACCATTAGAAAGAAAACCTCTGCACCAGATCCAAGACCTTCAGCAACATCTATAGGGTATATTGGAATAATTATATTCTGCTGTGAATGCGGTTTTCTTCTTTTACTTGATTTGACTTATCTTTTCGACGCAGCTCTGATGTTTAACAAAAACATACAAAACAAATAAGTCAATGTTCGTTTCTAACATTTAGTAACTAACTATTCGTAAAGACGAATTAGGTAGGAGCTAAAGTTACCCTTTGCAGGTATTTATTATGGCTTCGAATGTTTTATAAAGTATTATTTAGACATCTGTGCACATGTCAAGCCTATAATCAACTCGCTAGACCATTGAATGATCGATATTTCAACGGATTAAAACAATCGGGAGATTTCAAGATTTAACGATAAAACCGAGATAATAAACAATCTACACTACATTTTCAAACAGTCATAAGATCGGCCCAAATAAAGGAATTTAATTGAGATTTTTTAATATATTCAGCTTTCGTTATCTATTTTTGATCTATTACAGCAAGACGGATCAGCTTTATCTAACTCTTACATAAGGCATCTTTATATCCGTCAACTAGTATTGTCATTATACCACTTAACATACTATTATACGTTACTGTTACTGGCTACTATCATAAGTTCTTACTATTACAAGCATTATAATTATTACATTATTACAATTACTCAATAATAATTATACAATGTAAATATTTATTCTGTGTACAGACAAAAATACTGAAAAACTAAGATTTTGGTTATTGAATTTATTAAATGAAATTCTTAACTCGGTGTTATTTATTTCGAAAACAATAGTTATCGTCATTAATGCTCATCCCTATAACACCAAAAGGTAAAAATTAAATGACATAATGAACAATTTATTTAATTTCTATTTGAACGATTTCTGTTATACTTGTCAATGTTTCGAAAATTAAAGACATATTTATTTATTTTCGTATTTTATATTGAATTCCTTCGCGAGCTGTAACAGCCATCACGGCACCGTTATTTGTTTCATCTGTTAGGAGATCCATAAAACCTTCTGCCACCGTTGAAATTCTGGAAAAATAAGATAGCATAGCATATGATCAGAGGTGAATATTCGTTAGGCCGCTACAATCACTGAGAGGGATTGCGTCTATGCAGGTTAATTAGCTCGCATTATTAACTTTTTTCCTAGATTATTTTTTTAAAAAAATTAAAATACAGACATATGTCCTAAAATCTACCATGACGTGCTGGTTTATTTATAGCCGTACTGGGTTATACATAGACTAGATTACACAGACGTACCAGGTTATACATTGTTGTTTTGGGTTACACAGACGTACTTGACATAAAACAGACGTACTGGATTATACATAGACGTACGGGATTACACAGACGTACAGGACATAACATAGATGTATTGGATTATATATAGACGTACGAAGGTACTGTTAGATAAGAATCCACACCGACAGTAGACGTTTGCAAACATAAACCAGCGTGTGTGGGTCTAAAACTTGGTAATCGGTCGTCCGTCAGATTGAAATGTCTGAGTTGGATCAATCTGATTAAAATACAGATCTATCTCGTTTCGTTTTTTATAGTTCAAAATTTCGTTTTACTTGTCTACACCACACTATAGGATATGGAAGAGTTTTTATATAACCCGCATTCTGGTTGATTTGAGGGTTTAGCCAATGAGACGGTCTGTTGCGGCGAGGTGTGGGTATATTCCACTAGAAACATCAACATTGAATGGTTAATCAAATGTCTGACGTCATAGCGTCAAAAATTGCTCGTATGACCCATGACGCAACCGGCCAGATCTTCATGTAGTGGAGGCAATCGAAAATATAAAACAAAACGAAACGAAATATAGATATGTATTTTAATCAGATCGGAGTTGGATCTTTTTTACTTACTTATTTACACCAACATATTCTATAAATTTCTTTGTTGCTTCTATTGATAAAGTAGAATTCTCACTAATGTTCATCATATTAGTCTCCGTAAAAGCTGGACACAGACAACAAAATCTTAAACCATTGTGAGCATTACTTGGATTATCCTGATCAATAGAGTAGAAATGTATAATATTTAATAAAAATCGTGTACCACCGATCCTAACAGGAGGTCAAAATACAATAGTCCAGCGGAATGAATATTCTTACGCTTTGTTATAGCTATAATAAATATGCTTATACTGTGTTATTGCAATAATAAATATGTATAGTATGCTATATTCTTATGCTTTGTTATTATGTATAGTATGCATTGTAATTACTATCACGAATATGCTTATACCGTGTTAAAGCTATTAATAATGACGTATATTATACTTCATTATTACCATCATGAATATGTTTATATTTTGTTATTGCTATAATGAATATGTATGGGCTGTCATTACTAAAGGAATATGTATGTGCTTTGTTCTTACTATAATGCATGCACATAGCGGTGATAATGAATACGCTTTGTTATTATTAATATGCTGCGTAATTACTATAATGAATATGCTTTGTTACTGTTTTCGTGCATATGCTGTGTTATTAATATAATGAATATGCCTTGTTACTGTTTTCGTGCATATGCTGTGTTATTGATATAATGACTATGCCTATGTTGTGTTATTACTGTAACGAATATAAATACGCTTTGTTGTTGTTATAATAAATAAATCTATAATATAATTTCAGTTCTGTGTTATTTGGTATATTTCATTAAGACACCACCCCTAGTAAGAGACCATGTCTGTCCAATACCGTGTGTGATTGTATATGGAGGATTAATTGTATTATCACATGTTTGATGAATTCCCAATGGACTTATTAATGTATTTTAAATAGTCCCATGTTATGGACATCACGGAGGGGAAATCAAGGGAAGTAACCGTCTGTCCTAGGAATATATTTCAACACTGGCGTCCTTTCGATAGTTTTTTTTTTAACTCTTTAGTTCACCTGATCGATAAAAGTCAAATATCATTTTTCGATGGTTTATTTTTTTAGATTTAAAATATGAACATTCACAAACAATTATGGATGTTAAAATTGAGAAATTTTACAAGATCTTAAAGATACATTAGTACGATGTGTACGAGATACTTAAGATGCTTCGTCCTGAACTGATTTGAACTCTTGAAATGTTAATAACTATACTCAATCAGCAGAACCTCTCACTTCTTTCTTTTATGGTCAGTCTGCAACCTTTCAGACAATAAGATATTTCAATATAGTTCTACTTACTGCCCAGCTTCTAGTAAAACCAATTATACCAAATTTAGAAGCACAATAAGCTGGACTAAAAAATACCGGCTGTAGACCTTTAAGAAAAAACAACAAAAAGTAGATTTATTTGTATCCTTATTTCCATCTTCGATTTTTAGCGGATTTCTCCAATTAATTATATATTTTAATTGGTCGTTAACGGAAATATTATGATAATCACAGGCTTCAAATTGATCTGAACCGAGACGTGTGCAGTGAACCGATGTGGAATAAAACGGGGTTAAATATTTTACTTAATTGCATCAATTGAGCTAATGTCAACCTCAGTAACCCCAATGGCATCGTTTCGGGCAAGTTACTTCCCTTTGCCCACTCGCGAACGTTTTGATTGGTCAATAAAAATAGGATAATTATTAAGGGCGAATAACCTGACTATGTGTGTCCCCCATGAATCGACCAAAGGATTAGTGGAGTAAAATGGAACGATATCACTGGGGAAACTGATAAGGCTCTAATGTAGACGGTGATCCGGTATGAATCAGATTCATTGAGCGGGTTGAACGAAAAACCGTGTACAGATTGGCGTGCACGTAAAGAACCCCTGGCGAGAATAGGCTGTAGCGGGCTGTCCGGGCAAATTTTCCTTCACAACAGACTGTATGGTCTACGCCAGTCTTCATTAGCCCAGTCGGAGCAGAAAACTAGGACGTTAAATCCCATTTAATTTTATTTATATCTAATATACCATTGATCTTACCTGCTGATGAAGCAACGTTTATAATAACTCCCCCATCCCCACCATGTTCTTTGCTCATATTCTCTATACCAAGGTAGGTCCCTTGCATCATACCAACCTAGAAAACATAATATGTGAGTGAATATAACAATTAAAACAGGTGTTTACTGTTTACGTAAAAACAAAACTGGTGCGTGTGTAAGGGTTAAAGTCTGGGGTTTGCATAAAGGGTTAAAGACAAGGTTGTGTATATATATGTAAGAGCTTAAAATTACCGACAAGTGGTGTGCATAAGAGGTACGTGTTTAATATTACTGTGGCGTGAAGGATAGGGGTGTGTGTATGTGTTCCGGTTGGTGGGGTGGGGTAAGGGTACAAAAGCGGGTGTGACACCAGAATTAAAGAAGTATATAGTTTTTAGCTTGAACAGCATATTTCCTCTAAATTTTAGTAGTTAGTGTATGACAAGAGCAAGTGCGCAAAATTTAACTTTGCTGTTGTTTTAGAATATCCTACCTCTCATGATCATGTATTGACAAACAAAAACAGTCACGCGGTACTAAGTAATGGTGGCTAAGTGGGTAACACGCTGGCTCGCTAGCCTGGAGGTCGCGTGTTCGATCCATGCATTGACCGAGAATGTTCATCGAGATTTTCCGACGTGGTTTCCCCAGTCCCGTGTATACATTAGCATGCGCCTTAAAAAAAATCCCTTAGCAGTTGGAATTTGATATCCGTGTAGGTCATAGTGCCACTGTCAGCGCAAAATGCCCTCATAGCACATTGTATGGCGTAAGCTAGTCTTCATTAGCCCATTCGGAGCAGACCATAAGGTCGTCAACCCCCATGTCATTTCATTCCTAAGTAATATAGTGGTATCTGAGAATCAAAATCTGTGCTAATATTAATTTTCTTTGTGCTCTTGTTCCTTAGTGAACAGTGGTTCCAACATGCAGAAGAAGGGTCCAGTATTACCGATGTTGTCTAATAAAACCACCTTACCAAATTAACATCTATAGTTCTTCTCCAGTTCTTCTCTTCAATGATACCAGCATTATTTACCAAAATGTCAACTTTACCATATTTACTTTTGATACTTTCAAAAACACCTGATAGGGAAAAAAATCTTGCTTGGTTCAAAACATGGAAAATACAGGGCCGGACTTGAAGTTTTTGTAGCAAAACAAATAAGATGGGGATTAAAATGTTACTTATCTGCACAAGTCGGAATTATGAAGATGGTAGCGACTTATGTGACTAAAACAAAATTAGTCTGACACACATGTTCGTAATCAGGGGCCGCGCTGTATCATAGGGTCTAAACTGGTCTAATGTACTTATCGTATCCGTCTAACGTACTTATCCTAAAGTCATCTAACATGCAGACCATAAGAGACGCCATACAGAAAATACAGAAATATTTGAGAGAGAGAGAGAGAGAGAGAGAGAGAGAGAGAGAATTCATTTAATTTGTTCAATATATTTATTCAATTATTTATTCAATAGATTTATTCAATTTCTTTATTCAATAGATTTGTTCAATGCAATTTATATTTAATTTCTTTATTCAATTACTTATTCATTTATTCATTTAATTATATATTTATTCAATTATTTATTCATTTAGGGTTTTTTTTATTTATTCATATAAAATGGTAATTCGGCCTACCTGTAAAATCTGCTTCATTAACGACATTACATCTGCTGAAGATGGCGTTGTCCTTTCCATATGTTTTCTGAAAGCCTTCTAGTGTTGCTTGTCCAACTTCAGCATTTACATCAGTTAAACACACCTTTAAAAACAAAGGTAATCTCAATGGAACTAGACAATCTTCGTCATTATCCTCCAGTAAGTTCAAAATATCGACATGGCCATCGTAACAAGGAATGAAAGGGGATTTGGCATCCAACATTTCTGAAACCCTTGCCGAAACAGCCGTGCTACGGCCTACGTTACTTTCGATTCCAATTCAATTGTCATGGAATGTTGAATGGTCTACACCGGATCTGGATTAGATGCATTTCCTTGCCAGGCTAATAAAGGGGAATGGGGTTTCAACGTCTACTCAAGCAGACAAATTGTTTCAATGGCATTTAGTAATTGAACTGGAGTATAATGACTAGAGAAGCCTAGTCGAAACGTCGCTCAGTAATAACAAGTAATTGTATTCCATGTCGAAACGTCGCTCAGTAATAACAAGTAATTGTATTCCATAGAATTATTGTAACCTATCTACTCAAGCTGGAGAAACTTTCTCGAAAGAGCTTTGTTTCATGTTTAGTCATTGCGATAAGCGACTGAATCAATAACTTTTAATGAAAATGAAAAATGAAATATTCAATTTATCACTAAAATGAGAACACCAACACATACCTTTACGCCCTTTGACAACAAAGATTCGGCAAATGCTTTACCCAGACCCTGAGCTGCACCCGTAACTAAAGCAACTTTACCGCTTAAATTCATGTTCTTTTACTATGTCAACAGTTGTTTTCTACAAGATAAGACTATAATCTAGTTTTAATAGTGCATAACGTAAAATGGGGTTTAACGTCCTAGTGTTCTGCACAAAGCGGGATAATGAAGATGGGCTTATACCATGCCTTGTGTTATATCAGTGAAATGTTGCGAGGGCAGCCACGTTTCAGCCTACTTTTCGTTCCATCCAGACGACTAGATGTATTTCCTTACCAGCCACTGCAACACAGACAAGGGGAAACCGCCTTCAGAAATTCCGAGGTACTTTCTCGGCCAACGCCGGGATTAAACCAGGAAGGGTTTGGTTATAGCTGTTGACCCACCGTGGCCCAGTGTTAGGTGTTGAAGATTAAACGTATCATATAAATGTATGAATAGACTATTTATATATTTCTATTATACTTATGGGGATATTGCGGGTGCTAACTTCGCCTTAGAGAACTTCACGTATCATATAAATGTATGAATAGACTATTTATATATTTCTATTATACTTATGGGGATATTGCGGGTGCTAACTTCGCCTTAGAGAACTTCACGTATCATATAAATGTATGAATAGACTATTTATATTTCTATTATACTTATGGGGATATTGCGGTTGCTAACTTCGTCTTAGAAAACTTCACATAACATGCTGGCCTATTTTAACAAAAATGAAATGAGACGAAATAGGGTTTAACACCTTTCTGTTCTGCTCAGAACTAGGCTAATTGTTTAATTGTAATTTTAAATAATTCGCGGAGAGTGGCGCATATCTTTAAATGAGGCTATATTAGAAACTTATAGCCTACATTTTGTGTATGTGTGTTGTTTTCTTCAGCAATGTGTTTGACACGATATGTCCAATAACTAGCTTGGTCGATAAAACCAAAGAATTCGTATGTTATGTGACCCGTGAAATGTGTATTAGTATAAAAGCCAACCACGCGGTAAAAAACGCATACGTAAACTAAATGTAAATGATAGGTCAGGCATATCTTCAAGGTCGGCCTCCATTAAATATCTCTATTTTCAAGGCCGACATTAAGTAAATCTCTCCCTATTCCAACTTAGTACATAGCAAGATACAAAACCAAATGAAATGGGGTTTAACGTCTCACTGTTCTGCCATTTATAATTCGACGGGGTTAAAGTACAAGATACGATGTTTATGCATAAACAATTACTGATCTGAAATAAGATTGGCTTTAAAACGTCCTACTTTTCTGCCCCAACCGGGATAAATGAAAATAGTCATCGCCAACTGTGGTGTGGTTCGCCTACTCTTTATCGAATTCCAACTGTCAGGGGTTCTTTTACGTGAATTGCAACGTGTACACGGGAAATCCGGTTTTCGTTCTATCCGAATTACTGGACAATACAAGCGAGAGTATCCCCAGTGAACTGTCGTATATTAATAAGTTCAGAAGTTGTTTATCCATAAATTGTTACGTATCTTAATATGTTCAATTATTGTATATCAAAGACGTTATACGCTAACATGATGTATATTATATCCGCTCTCCGGCGTGGTTCCCCCTTGTCAGTAAATGCAGGAAGGAGGCCTGACAAGGATAGCTGTCTAGTTGTTCAGATGGCACGAAAAACCGAAGTCCAGTGTAAACATTGGCATGCACGTAAAAGATCCCATGACAGTTGGAATTCGATATAAGAGTAGGTCGTAGTGCCGCTGTCCAGGCAAAATGTCCCTCATAGCACACTGTATGACATATGCCCGTCTTCATTAGCCCAGTTCGGAGCAGAAAAGTAGGACGTTAAACTCCATTTCATTTAATTTCATTTATATTAGATGCACTTTGACCTTTGAAAGCTTGAGCTGTATGATTCAACGGACTCGACTAGAAATTGTCATGTAAACAATATTATATCGAATAAGTAGGCCTGTACATAGCATACACCCCAAACTCATTATGGCTACTATACATGCTATGGACAGCTGTATGAGCAAAAAATGTGTAATCGTAATGTTCACAACAAAATGCTGCTGAGTTGGGATAATATTAAATCAGTTATATGCAATATTCGTGTACTTACAAAGTCCAAAAACAGCTTGCATTAAATCTACGGCTATTATTGTTGTTCCGGTTAAGAGCTCCAATCCTGTCTCGGTCACTGATGTGCTCGGCTAATGTTGTTATTACAGCGACTTGACACGTCACGCTCCACTACACAGTCAATTCACCTTTACGTGAAATGAAATGAAATAGGGTTTAACGTCCTACTGTTCTGCTCCTAACCTCGCCTAATGAAGACGGGCATACGCCATACAGTGTGCTATGAGGGAAATTTTGCCCGGGCAGCGGCGCTACGGCCTACTCAGACAGAGGCTACTCTTATATCGAATTCGAACTGCCAAGGGATCTTTTACGTGCACGCCAATGTGTACACGGGACCTCGGTTTATCGTCCCATCCGAACGACTAGACGGCTGTCCTTATCAGGCCCTCCGTCCTGCATCACTGACAAAGGGAAACCACGCCGGATAATCGGGATGAACTTTCTCGGCCAATGCAGGGATCGAACACCCGACCTCCAGGCTAACGAGCCAGCGTCTTACCCACGTAGCCACGTGATCCCCTCACCTTTATGTATATGACGGATTTAATGTCGGGCTCATGTCGCCCCACACTGATCAGCGGTGAATATTCGCTAGGCCGCGACAATCACTGATAAGGATGACATCGATGCGACTTAATGAGCCACGAATATTAACTTTTTTCCTCCAACAAATCAAATTCTAAAACATTTTTTTTTATGTATTAGAAAAATGAATAAAGACGTTTGAAGTATTTGTAGGTAAAAATTATTTCCTATTTTAATGTAAATGGGTATTAATATGAGTAAAAGGTGCCATTCTGCTCGAATCTGTAACGTCTTATGTAAACAATGCACGCGCCATTGAGTCAATTATTGACACGGCGTGATATGACGTCATTTGTTGAAGGCAGTCATCTTTTACAGAGATATTAGAAGGTTTTCGTAATACTCTGTTAAAAAGATTGATGTCGCCCTTGTAATGGAGTTTTTATTCAGATACAAGACGAGACCTGAACGCTTTAAATCTTTATTTACCCCCCCCCCCCCCCCCGTAAAATACATAGAAATATTCACAATTATAACAATTCTGAATAATACATTATTATGAGATGCAAGATAGTAGGCCCATGTTAAAGGGCGTATTCCGTGAATAGCTATATTCATTTGAACCTGGGGATCACGTGGCTTAGTGGGTAAGACGCTGGCTCGCTAACCTGGAGGTCGGGTGTTCGATCCCTGCATTGGCCGAGAAAGTTCATTCAGATTTTCCAGCGTGGTTTCCCCTTGTCAGTGATGCAGGATGGCGGGCATGACAAGGACAGCTGTCTAGTCGTTCGGATGGTACGAAAAACCGAGGTCCCGTGTACACATTGGCGTGCACGTAAAAGATCCCTTGGCTGTTGGAATTCGATATAAGAGTAGGCCGTAGCGCCGCTGCCCGGGCAAAAATTTCCCTCATAGCACACTGTATGGCGTATGCTCGTCTTCATTAGCCCAGGTTAGGAGCAGAACAGTAGGACGTTAAACCCTATTTCATTTCATTTGAACATTAAAATAGACGAAATTCGGTCTAAAATCACATATTAATGTAATATGAATGTATGTAAAGTGATATTTATTCAATTTTAAAACACATTATTATAATTTCTAATTGATTATGTTCAGTGAAATAGGCAAACTTTCCAAATTGAACGACAAGGTATTTTAATTTTTATTGTTATTTTGTCAGTTGGAATCAGACATTACTAATTATGTCCGCATGGTCTTGTAGTATATGATTTTCTTTGTTCATTACACATGGCATCCGAAACCATAGAATATACGACTTGTGAAGGCTACTGATTATAAAATATCCATTGTGTCCCATATTTCCATGACAAGATAACAAAATCAATATTGATTGAAATTGACATATATTGGACAATTGTTTTAATTTCAAATATCATGGAAAACAGTGAGTTAGAGGTTTAGCTCCTTTAATGTATAAGCTATACATTAATAACTGTTGCGGGGGTCGGGGTGGATGACCGAATGGTTAGCGCGTGCGCGTAGTATCATAAGGTCTGTCATTCAATCAACTCCCGTGGTTTCGAATCCCCGATTGTATGTGACAAAGAGTAGTGTCGCCTGTATAACCTCGTGAGTTTTCTCCGGGTCAGCGTTATGTCTGCCATTGCCTGTGGGATAACGCATTACAAAAAGACAGTCTATGGCGAACACATGATGGGATTTTAAAAAGTGCCCCATGTTTGATACAGTTTTACAGCATTGACTCCGTGGGATAATATTATTGGTCCATTTGATAATTCACAAGTTTTTGGCGTTTTATATTTATAATATTCGGATTCTTCTAATTTGACATGTCTCACATCAAACACTTTAGCTAACACCCCAGTTATAAAAACGTCCTCAATTCGCAAGTATTTAAACCGATTGGCAACAGTAAGAAATTTGGTAGCTAATGTTGAAGACATTGCGTACATAATCCCTTTACAGTGAGGTGGGTAAAGGGAAAGTGGGTACTCATTCTTATCTACTTTGTTTTTTCCTGTGCGAGCCACGCCCTCGGAGAAAGAATACACTCCTAAAATAGAATTATCCATTGATACTGACTCCAGTTTAATCACTAACTTAGGTAGAACAATAAAGGCATCCTCGTCCGTTTTCATTACAAACTTTGTATTGGGACAATGCATCGTCATCCACTTAAATCCCATCAATACCTTTAAGGTTAGGTTATTATAACTATCCACAAAATTTGCTTGTACGATATCTTGATGAATTTCGTTTTCTGCACGTACGATGGAGTTAAGAATTTCAACTTTATGTACACCAAATAAAAACACAATTTTGATGATAGGCGTAATCGTGGTACCAGGCCAACGGTTGCCCCTGGCAACACTACCCCACGTTCGACGAATGGCTTCCCTCTGTGTTGTTTGGTCGTGGACAGAAAGAATAAATATCACTATATACGGGTCTTGGTCCTTGCATATATGAGATCCATCCAAATGGAAACTATGGTTAAGAGAAAATGTTGTATTTTGTCCAGGAACGAAGAATTCTTCGTATGGTATCAGAGATGAATCGCCATAAAATGTTTTTTTCGTTGTCAATGCGTATGTATATTCGGTAGATGCAGCTTGAGTTTCCGGAATTCTTGCCTTGTAATACGTCATCAATTTAAGGGTTAGTATAATCACGACTGGAAATAGTACCAAAACACGTGGACGGAACCTCATCTTAATTTATCCTGCATATAAAAATAAATACGAAGGTACATTATTTATACAATATATAAATACAGAGAGTATTTTTAACTTTTGTCAACACCTTCAGATAGTCGTCAGTATTCATAGATGAAAGTTGCACTTTTTAAAAATAAAAAAAACGAAAATCGAAGTAATATTTTTACATGACGAATATGGGAGCCTGCCCCTGCCCCCAACATACCAAATCCGGCGGCGTGTAACACCATCCCTGTCATATTGTTAATCTACTAAATACAACTAAACTATCTTTAAAAGGCATTTAGTGAAAGTAATATATAATAACAGGCAGCTTTATTGATAATGTTTCAATGAGGACAATGATAACGATGAGAGTGTCCCCACTGAAACGTTGCAGTTAATAAAAGATACATTAGTTAAGTTTAATAACGAGTTGGCCATTCTTGCTATTGTAATTCCAAAATAGATGATAAAAAAGAAAATATTGAAAATTTCAATCATATTACTTTATTCTGAACGGAGTTGTCACTGTTTGAAGTTTAAACTAGAAATAGGCATCAGCTGTGTCCACACCGTTTACGAGAATTGCCGATCGTTTGATTGAGACGATAACTCCACCCACATATTCTCGATTGTCAAGTAACATTCTCAATGGCTATGGTATCCTAGCTTTGAAGGCGTTTCATCACCAGTTGCCGGATATTGACGTTGTGTATAGCTGAATCCACCCCAAGACAAATTTATAACAGCCATGATATTACTAATACAAGCACAAGCACAAGTCTAAATGACCCAAATAAAAATGTCTGATGGAGTGATCTGACGCGTACGCCGTCATTGCGTCGCTGTCATTAGCCTCGCTTTCCCATTTTTAAATTAAATTTTTAAATGGCGAACCGCTCCAATCTAGTTAAAATCTCGCGTATCCGATGCCATCGAGAGTTGATTATGATCTTGTTTTGTTGACAAATTGTAGCAATATTGCAAGAATTTTTGCTCTTGAAATTAATGATGACATTATATTGTATTAATTTATATCTTTGGCAAGATATTAGATTCACACATATGTACTTAAATCAAGTTAGCGAATGAGTGGCATATTATTACATAAAAAAGAGTCATGATGTGGTAAACATTCAATTCTCCGGTAAATTTCCACTATCTATATAAGGGTGGGTTTCGATGTCATTTTGCTCAATTAACCAACCTCTCTAATTATTTACATCATATTTGACCAATTAGATAATTGAAGGTCCAAAACCCAAAGCTACACAATTACCATACTTGTGAGAATTCGTCAGACAACAGATAGATTCTGGAAGGGATGTAGCAATTTTTATCAGCAGACTAGCCCCAGCAAGTCTAGCTGACTACGGTTTGAGAATGACTTTAGTATTGTAATCTATACTATGCTTGTATCTATGTATCCGGCTATGAGATATAAAATGTTAAAACGAACTGTTGCATTGTTATTCCTGGAAAGACAAACGTCTTAACTAACTCAGATAGATAAGAAGAAGTATAAATACACAACATGAAGGGGAAGCAAAGACGATCACAAGGCTACTAAGATATGTAGTAAGAAAAGATGCATGGATAGGATGTGGCGACCGGTTTTGGAATGGCCCGCATTCCACGTCTGACAGAAAGACCCATGGTGCTACAAAACGCCTAATTAATAATTTATATAACATTTAAGGCCCCAAAAAAGACCTACAATACTCATTTTTAGCTCTTGCATAATACATGTTTACGAAATACACTGTTTAGTATGAGATAAGAA